CACACTGCTTTGGATGGCTCTGCTATGCTTTATTAGTACAGTGTCAGTGCTTTTTATTAGCACGAATCACTATATTAGTGTCACTGGGGATGTCAGTGGCACGAAGTCAGTTCCCCCCAGCGTCAGAATGCCCGCTGCAGTCCTGCTATAAGTTGTTGATCGCCGTCAATAATAGTAAAAAACAAAACCGTATATATACCGCCATTTGTAAACTCTATAACTGTAACGTAAGCCAATTTAATTTACAAGTATTGGGATTTTTTTTAGCAGAATACATTTTCACCTAAATTTATGACAAAATTAGATTTTTGAGAATTTTTTCACTGGACCTGTTTAATAGCAAAAGGTCCAAAATGTTGTTGTTTTTTTTTTCTCAAAATTGGCGACCTTTTTTTTTTTAAAAAAAATTTTTATAGCACAAAAAAAATAAAAACTGCAGAGGCAATCAAATACCACCAAAAGAAAACTTTATTCGTGAGGAAAAAAAGGATGTAAATTTCACTTGGGTGCAGCATTGCATGACCACGCTATTATCACTTAACGTAACGCAGTGCAATGCAAAAATGGCCTGGTCAGGAAGGGGGGTAAATCATGTGGAGGGCAAGTGATTAAACATTTGATCTGTTTTTCTATTGTAAAAAAATATAGGTTTATGAGATTTGCAAATCAATGCATTCTGCTTTTCATGTAGATTTTACAAGAAACGTCACAACTCTTTTGGAATTGGGGCTGTAGCTCTGTATTACCCACTTGCCGACTGTGCTATAGCTGAGAGACTGCTACAGTGCGATCATCCAGTTTTGGGGGGTATCAATAGATGTCCTCCCAGAACCCCATGCACCTCCTGCGGCATGCATCGGGGTGTACTCTGTGACTGCTGTGTTCTTCGGACAGATCACAAATCGGGGTAAAGGGCCAATCACAGCAGCTCTTTACATGTGATCAGCTTTGATCTGACACAGCTGATCCCATGTAAACAGATAGGCAAGTGATTAATACATAATTTCATTTATATTTTTTTTTTTTTTTATACAAGCAGTGTAAGGACCAGAATTTGATTTGGTATTGGCCTCTTGAAGTCCCTGTACAGTGAGAGGTAGTAGCAAGGTGGCAATGAGTTCATGTGCTAACAAGCAAAGTGGTAAAAAAGAGCTCATCACTGTGCAGCTTCTTCTTTCGCTGTCCAGTCACAGGCTGGTTGAGTAGTGTTGGCCATCAAAGTGAGGACATCTTGTGGCAAAAAAAAAAGAGGAAAACTCTGGATTGAAGATGAATATGGAAGAAAGTTGGTTTTTTTTTTTTTTTTATGAATGGACTTTTTGTTTTTATCTTGTTTTTGGCTGCTTTTTGTTTTTTTGTATGAATGAGTTCATCTTATAGTCACCCATAACTGCAATAAAACCCCCAAAAAATCAGTAGCAATCCATAAGAGAAGAAGTTTAATACTTCTAAAACATATGTACTTAAAATTACGATAGGTAATGCTAGGACCACTTTTAGGTTAGACTGTTAAGCTACTCTGTTGCTAAACTTAAAGTTTATTCAGTTGAGCAAATGTGCTTAGGACTGGGATACATGAGCGTTGTGTTTTGGTGTGATATGCATTTATGAAGGGTCAGGTATGTATTTGGAATGCTGGTTTCCCTCATAGCATACAGCATTTTGCTTGCCCCTCAGTTTCATACTCCTAAGGCTGAGACATGCTCACCTATAGCTGTGAGCTCCTTTTCTGATGCCGACCTCTTCTTTTTAAGACAGGCAATAGACTCACCACCTTACCAAGGTGGTATAGCAGCAGCTGACAGGCTTTCAAGATGCACTATTACCGCTTCCTGACACGTGGATTTTTTTTTCTTGTTTTTCCTTTTTATTTTTCTATTGTGGAATGCCAAGTTGTGGGACCGAGCCACAACTGCATGCCAAACTCTGCAGCTTGAGTAAATAAGATGGCGGTCTCGGCATGTGTACAGTCCTGTCAAGGTGGATTGTTAGAACTCCGGTAGGTGGCTTGGTGGGTCTTACTTAAAGTGTCACTAAACCCACATCATAAAAAACTATCAATTGCTGTATTACATGCTCTGGGATTTGCTTTCTGTATTGTGCAAAAGAACTGGGTTATCCTGTTCTTCTCTAACTCCCCCTTCAGTCCATGTCCCCAATGCAGTTAGGGAATTGGAAAGCAGTGTTGGCAGCTACTGCACCTACTCAGTTTTTACTGAGTTTTCATGCTGAGCATTTCCTCCCCATCGCATCTGAACAGCCCATGTGACTATAGAGTCACACACGTGTGTGTGTGTGTGTGTGTGTGTGTGTGTGTGTGTGTGTATTCAACTTTTCTGCATTTGGCTGAATCTGGGCAGATAGTATATCTCTAAACACTACCGAATTAATCCGGCTGCTTCTGTCTTCTGTCACATCATCAATAAACACCAATGACCCAGTGCCACTGGAAGCCATGCATGCCCATGCCATCACCCTGCCTCCACCATGTTTCACAGATGACATTGTGTACTTTGGATCATGAGCTGTTCCAAGCCTTCTCCACACGCTTTTCTTCCCATCATTCTGGTACAGATTAATCTTCAGGCTTATGAATGGTTTGCACCTTGTGGTGAACCCTCCGTATTTGCTCTCGTGAAGTCTTCTCTTGATTGTAGACTTTGACAATGATACGCCCACCTCCTGGAGAGTGTCCTTCACTTGTCTGGATGTTGTGAATGGGTTTTTCTTTACCATAGACAGGATCCTGCGATTATCCGCCGCTGTCTGTTTTCTGTGGATGTCCATGCCTTTTTATGTTGCTGAGCTCACCCGTGCATTCTTCTTTCCTCAGAATGTACCAAACTGTTGATTTGGCCAATCCAAATGTTTTTGTTGCTATCTCTCTGATGGATTTGATTTGTTTTTGAAGCCTTACAATGGTTTGTTTCACTTGCATGGACAGCTCCTTTGAACACATGATGTACGTTCACAGCAATAGATTCCAAATGCAAATACCTCACTTAGACTCAACTCCAGACCTTTTTACCTGTTTAATGAAGAAATAACGAAGGAGTAGCCCACACCTGGCCATTAAACAGCTTTTGATTCAATTGTCCAATTACTTTTGGTGCCTTGAAAAAGGGGGGGCACGGCTTCTCTTAAGAGCTGTAATTCCTAAACCCTTCCTCCAATTTGGATGTACATACCCTCAAATTAAACCTGAGAGTGTGCACTTTCAGCCCATATCCATTATATAACTGTAGCTTGAATATGTTTTAGTAAATATCTGAAAAAAATAAAAATTGTGCCTGTGTCCAAATATATATGGACCTAACTGTGTGTGTACTCTGTATCCCAAAGGTTTTGTTTTCTGTTTTTTTGATCATGTGACCAGCAGTAGAGGGATAGAAGCTCCTCCTGCTTGTGTTTCCCTACAGATAGGCTGGGAAAGATCTGAGTCATGTGACAGCTGTATATCAATTAGGAAAAAGATTAATTTTTTTTCTGTTTTATTAAAATAATTGCAGTGCCAGAATCCATATACAGAAAGAGAAGGGATAATGCACAGTGTGTCCCTAAAATTGGGACAAATCGGAAATATCACTACCTATATGTTTTTTGTTTTTCAATATGCATTTTTCCTGTGTGTCCAGACTTTAGGGACACCTAAATTAAATTAAACAGTATGTATGTGTTTAGTATCACCTTAAGAATCCATTCAGTTGAGTAAAATGTGCTTAGGACTGCTGTACATGAGTGTTGTGTTTTGATGTTGATATGCATTTGTGAAGGGTCAGGAATGTATTTGGAATGTTGTTTTCCATCATAGCATACATCATTTTGCTTGCCTCTCAGTTTCATACCCTTAAGGCTAAGAGATTCTCACCTTTTATTGCGCTGTGAGCTCTTTTGCTGGCGCTGACCTTTTCTTGCTAGCTTGTCCCGGTTTCAGGATCTTTGGCCATTTGGTTTGGCCGGAACGAGGTAACTCCTGTTTATGCGCTCTGGAGGTAATTCATCCCACCATGTGGCAGATGCTATGGTTGTACACAGAGCTGCACATTTCACCGCACAGCTTATAGTGTAAACTGATTGCTGAGCGGTAAGAGTCCCTTTTTTTTTGCAAAAGAAACTTAGGGTTAATTTTATAAAGATTTCACATAGCCATTCACCCATTGAAAGTATATGTACATTCATTCTGTATGAATTGGGAAAAAAAAAAAAACAAATGTAAATAGATGTTATATTTTTTGCTGTTCGATTTGTAAATCATTGATATTAAATTGAAAATACAGAATTTTGCCACTAGATGGAGCTATTCTAGGAAATTGCTATGATACTCAGCCACACCTAGTAGTCTACCAGCAATAGTAAGACTGGCCATACATTATACAATTATCTGCAGATTTTTGGTTTAGATTTACCAAAAACCATATAATAGGAGGACAAACCTAAACAACACTTTCAGTTGTATCCAATTAGGCAGGCCCTTGCACTACACAGTTGAAGGTAAATCTAAAGGAAATTGGGCAGAAAATCTGCAGATAATTGTATAATGTATGGCCAGCCTTAGTCTATTATATTTCAACTTCTTTAACCGCTAACCGCTAACCTACCGGGCACTTATACCCCTTCCTGCCCAGGCCAATTTCCAGCGCTGTTACACTTTGAATGACAATTGCGCGGTCATGCAACACTGTACCCATATGACATTTTTATCATTTTTTTGAGACAGAGCTTTCTTTTGGTGGTATTTAATTGCCTCTGGGATTTTTATTTTTTCTTAAACAAACCAAAAACCACTGAAAATTCTGAAAAAAAAACACGTTTTTTCTTAGTTTTTGTTAGAAAATTTTGTAAATAAGTGATTTTTCTCCTTCACTGATGTGCGCTAATGAGTCTGCAGTGATGGGCACTGATAGGCTGCACTGATGGACACTGATGAGCCACTGGTAGGTGGCACTGATGGGCATTGACAGGCATCACTGATGGGCAATGAAAGGCAGCACTGATACATGGCACTAATAGGCGGCACTGACTGGCACTGATTGGCAGCACTGATAGGTGGCACTGATTGACATTGATAGGTGGCACTGACTGGCACTGATGGGTGACATTGAAAGGCAGCTCAGATGGGCACTGATATGTGGCATTGATGTGCACTGGTATGCACTGATATGTGGCATTGCTGTGGCACTGATGGGCACTGGCACGTGGCACTTCTGGGGCCACACTGATCATCAGGGCACACTGATCATCAGTGCCCTGATGATCAGTGTACATGTCCCCTCCGCGGAAAGCTGATTACCGGCTCTCCTCTACTCTCGAGCTGTCAGCGTGAATAAATATTTTAACACATACCTTCTGTTCTCAGCTGCATTAAAACTGGGAGAGAGTAAACAGCAGGACACTGATCCTCCCAGTGAATGGCTGTGCAGGGGGCATGTCAGCAGAAGTCTGATCATTGGAGGAGAGCAGGCTGAGTTCTCAGCATAGCTAGAGAACTAAACACACTGCTCTCTTGCTTAGTATGGTCAGGAAACCCACTCATAGGAAGCAATACAAAGAGCACAGGATACATTTTCATACAGGTACATGATACAGAAGCCACATCAGGATTATTGAAATGCTGGGTTTACATACTCTTTTTAACCACTTGCCATCCAGAGGATTTACCCCCCTTCCTGACAAGGCCATTTTTTTGCATTACAGCGCTGCATTACTTTAACTGACAATTGCGCGGTCATGGAACGCTGCACCCAAATGAAATTTTACGTCCTTTTTCCCCACAAATAGAGCTTTCTTTTCGTGGTGTTTTATCGCTTTTGCGGGTTTTTTTTGGTTTTTTTGCGCTATAAAAAAAACCAGCAATTTTGAGAAAAATAACAAAATTTTGACTTTTTGCTATTAAACACGTCCAGTAAAAAAAAATTTTAAAAGTCAGATTTCGTCATATACAGTGAAGGAAATAAGTATTTGATCCCCTGCTGATTTTAAATGTTTGCCCACTCACAAAGAAATGATCAGTCTGAAAATCGAATGGTAGGTGTATTGTAACACTGAGAGACAGAATAGCAACAAAACATTCAAAAGAAATGCATGTCTAACAAATGATGCACTGATTTGCATGTTCATGAGGGAAATAGGTATTTGATCCCCTTCACAAAACATGACGTAGTACTTGTTGGCAAATCCCTTGTTGGCAATCACAGAGGTCAGACGTTTCCTGTAGTTGGCCACCAGGTTTGCACACAACTCAGGAGGGATTTTGACCCACTCCTCTTGGCAGATCCTCTCCAAGTCATTAAGGTTTGGTGGCTGATGTTTGGCAACTCCAACTTTCAGCTCCCTCCACAGATTTTCAATCGGATTAAAGTCTGAAGACTGGCTAGGCCAGTGGTGGGCAACCTTTTTTTTCAACTGAGCCAAATCTCGCCAAAACCACGATTGAAATTTATTTTGAGAGCCACATTTTTAAAACTGAAAATACATCCCCCATATAGTAATTCATCCCCCCCCCATATAGTAATTCATCCCCCCTATAGTAATTCATCCCCCCTATAGTAATTCATCCCCCCTATAGTAATTCATCCCCCATAGTAATTCATCCCCCATATAGTAATTCATCCCCCATATAGTAATTCATCCCCCATATAGTAATTCATCCCCCATAGTAATTCATCCCCCATATAGTAAGTCCCCCATATAGTAAGTCCCCCCTGTGTCAATTCACTTACCTTTGCTCCGCGCGTTCCTCTCGCCGTGTTCCTGCGCCGTTCTGGTCTTCAGGGCGGACTGTGAGAGGGGAGGAGTTCGTCACGCTGCCCCGCCTACATCCTGGCTGCCCCGCCTACATCCTGACAGCTGCAGAGTCCTGACTTTTGCCAGAGGAGGGGGCGGCCGCCCGAGAGGAGGGGGGGGGCCCGAGAGGAGGGGAGGGGGCGGCCGCCCGAGAGAGGGGGGGGGGGCGCCCGAGAGGAGGGGAGGGGGCGGCCGCCCGAGAGGAGGGAGGGGAGCGGGCGCCTGGCACACAGAAGAGCCGCATTTAAGTTTGTAAAGAGTCGCGTGTGGCTCGGGAGCCGCGGCTTGCCGACCACTGGGCTAGGCCACTCCAGGACCTTAATGTGCTTCTTCTTGAGCCACTCCTTTGTTGCCTTGGCCGTGTGTTTTGTGTCATTGTCATGCTGGGACACCCATCCACGACCCATTTTCAATGCCCTGGCTGAGGGAACAAGGATCTCACCCAAGATTTGACAGTGCATCGTCCCTTTTTTTGATGTGGTACAGTTTCCTGTCCCCTTAGCAGAAAACCCCCCCACAGCAGAATGTGTGCCAGCAGTGTGTAGGAGCTGACAGAGGAGAGAACTGTATTGTTTACTTAGTTCTCTCCCTTTGTCGGTAATGCTCCTTGATCACTGGGTGCCGGCGAGTAATCACCAGCTGGGACCCGGTGATTGACAGCCGAGGCTGCGAATAGAGGCGTGGATAGTGCGTGCATGCACACCCCCTACCCAGACATGCAAAATCACATGTGTGTGTGTATGATTTTGCGCATCCGTGCTGCCCTGTAGCAGTATTACTGTTATAGGGCAGATCGGAAGCGGTTAAAGTGGTTGTAAACCCTTACATATACCCAGCAAAGTGACCAGCCTCAGGTGATACAAAGATGAGACAAATCCTCCTAGATAAGTTGTACCTGTTAATCTACATTATTCTCTTCTCTACGTACATTTTATAAAGCTTGTCAAGCTGGCAGACAAATGGGGCAGTGATCTGAAGTTACACTCTGCAGAGTGCAGTGGGGAGAGCTGTGAAAGCTGATTGGAAGGAAGGAAGAGAACCAACCCCCCCTTCCCGCCTCTTCCCCCTTCACACTGCTCACAGGAACAGAGAGCTTAGACTGTCTGGAGCTCCCTCCCCTGTCACCATTGTTTTCCTGGTGTCAGAAAAACTTGTCAGAAGTGATTCATGCTGATATCAGAGGAACGAAGCAGCAGACAGAAATGACACTTGGTCCTCCTAATTGAGACAAGCACACACTTTAGTGGGATATTTTTTGTTCATATTTTATTCCTGAAGTTTACAACCACTTTAATGCAGAACTTAACCCACTAATCTAACTTTTTCCCAGAGCAGTTAGTTATCATGCAAGGCATGAATTGAATGTGTTTGTTACTACTGAACTTGTGTCAGTTTACAACCGCACTGTCAGGCCATCAAATAGTTGGTGTCAGCTGATCACTTGTGCAGCATCTGCAGATCAGACAGAGGTGAAGTTGGCAGCTGCCTTGGCTGTAAAGGATAGTTCCATTTTAACAGACCAAAGCGTTAAAGCAAAAGCTTTAGGAGTTTGAGGCAAACAATTTACCACTGACAGGGGTGCTTACAATAATCAGTATATATATATATATATATATAATGTATGTATGTGTGTGTGTGTGTGTGTATATGTATATGTATATATATATATATATATATATATATATATATATATATATATATATATATATATATATATATATATATATAACCATTATCCCAAAAAAAAAAAAAAATTAGCTGTAATTGCTTAAAAACGTAGCTTGATGTTGGCTTTCATTTGTTAGATGTACTAGCAGATTTAGATGGACTTAACTAACATTTCCATCTTCCCAGACTGACAATGCTGCTGTACAAAGGTGTCTCTGTTGCTCCTCCATCAAGCATGTAATCTGTCTTGCCATTCATGGCATTGTGACCTGCTCCATAATGAAATGGCATTTTTAAGAGGTTAGAGGAAAAGTCCTATGAGGGCACTTGGCAAAGATGTCCACTAACTTCCTGTTGTGTCCCTGGGATGGAAAATGTAAAGAGAAATCTCCTTAATATGGCACAGACCACAAATACAAAAAAAAGGCTTTATCTCTTCCTTACTCTGTCTAAAACTAAACTAAATACTTCCATAGACAGTGTGAATCTTGGCTGGATTAGCAGGAACCAGATGAGATTTGAACAATTTATGGGCAGGCTGAATGTTCCCAAATTGATCGATCAACTTGGGTACAGCCAGTCTGCTGGATTTTACATGTGATTACTGCCAGCCGCTGTTATAGCCGCTAGCAATAATCACTGTCTTCTTCCGGTGGGGATGGTAGAACACAATGGCTTGGCGGGAGGGATTCCCCTGTCAACACTCTGTCAACCCATAGTTGCAGGAAAGACATTTGCACCATCTCTGGCATGCCTCTGGGAGTTTTGGATGTGGCCACAGTCCTGTTCAACCCCCAATGCTGTAAAAGTAAGAAATTTGGAATTATATTTTTCCACAAGGACGTTTGAACAGATAAAATATTCGATACAATTCAGACCATTGTGTCTACAGGATAAAGGTGATATACTTGAAAAATAAAATGTCACAAGGAATATTTGCCTTTTCAATTCGCTTTTATTAACCACTTGTGGTTACAAACCGTCCGCTGATAGGGTCGAAGGACTGCATACAGTGCTTAGGAAGGTTGTCTACCTGGTTCTGGAAAGACAATGTCCATGTGCGCTACCTGAGCGTAGAGTGGAGAGAAGTCCCCATTGAGGAACCAGAACGAAGTTTCCCCCAGCGACGCACACACCTCCCAGGCGTACCCCCACCGGTGATCACTGTTGTCCTACGGAACTGTTTGGGCCCATCAAGCTATGTTTCACTTTGATGAAAAGATAGCATGGTGGAAATGGCCAATCACGGCAGAATTCTCTTTACCCACATTATCAGGTCATTGGGTAAATACAGTTGCCGGTTATCATGCTCCACTTTCTTCACACTGTCACAGTGTGAGACCTACAAAGTGCCTCTTTAAAGTACAGACTGTAAGCAATGATGACTGTATGTTCAAAATCAATGTCAAACTGGCCAAGAACACTCAATTTCATGGGTTGAATAATTTTGGTCACAACTTGTATATTTTCTTACCAATATTGAACAGCTCAAAATTCGATTACAATTCACGACAGTGTCTACAGATATAATATCCTTGAATAAAATCACAAGAAGTATTGCAGAGAAATGGCAAATGTCAACAAAGGGATCTGCACTGATGATCAGTGCCCAGCAGTGCCGCCCATCATTGCCGTACCCACCTGTACCCATCATTTGTGCCACCTGTTATGTTATGTGCTGCCCACCTGTGCCACCCACCTGCGCAATGTGCCCAGCAGTGCCACCCATCAGATAAATATTCGCAATTCAGCAGTGTCCCTTGCAGAATATTTGCCTTTTCCGTTTATTAACCCAACCGCGCTATAGTCGAAGGATCTGTGCAGCATCAAGCAGTGCATTGCCTAGCCGTTCTGATCACCTCATGGCCAATCACGGCCCTTTTGCCTATCAGTGCAACCTCATCAACGTACCTCAGTGAAGGAGTCAACAAAAAATTACCTGCCCATCATTTTGCAAAATTTCATGCAGCATCAGCAGTGCTGCCTAAACAAAGAAACGT